CCCGGTTTTGGGATACCGATGCTCACTATTCCCAATATCCTGATATCGTGATGCTGAGTACCACCCCGCTGTTCTGTCTTCTTCTTCTTTCTTTTCTTTTTTTTTTTTTTCTTTTGTTCCGTCTTTTTTCACACTTGGTGACCGGTGCACCTAGGCCTCCACCAGTAGACCCCACAGGCGGTAAACGGTTTCGGCAGTCGTGACAAACAGCGACTGTCACGACTGCCGGCCGCCGACGGAGATTATAAAATAGAGCGTCGATAAAATAGAGCGGGCCCCACAGAGGTGGCCCCACCGCGCCCATTTCGCGTAGGCAGCGGTTACCAAAATAGGAAAATCGAGGGTGGTTTTCCTTTTCGGGAAAGGCCAGGGTGAGGGAGGCCATTCCAGGTCCCCAGCCCATGGTCCTGATTGAAGGGCGGCCGGAGAGACTGGGTGACTCTGTGACAACTATGTGGGGCACCTGGAGGGCGGTGGGTGACAGCCCCTTCCTGGTCCCGGGTGGGGTTATACGGTCTGCTGAAGTTGACGGTTCACGGAACCGCTTTGCTGTCTGCCTCATACCATGTTATGCCATACCCAACGACCTGTAGGATCGCGTCCACCGCCCTCGCCAAGCTGTTGCCATCGCTCGTTGTACGCACCTAGTGTACCGATCGCCTTCAGGGTTGCTAGTGTGGGCAGGGATCTCTTCTGTGCCGGAAGGCAGATCTGGGTGTAAGGCCGACATTGCGCAGAACCCATCATCCGGGTATGCACTACGGAGGGTAGACCCCAGGGGCGACCCCAGGGGCGGTGTAGCAGTCTTGCACTAGATGAACAGGCGGAATGCGGTCGTGCACTGGATGAACAGGCGCAATGTGGTCGCACAAATTCAAAATTTTCAAAATGCAGTCCCCTTCCGGGAGTGGGAAAATCAAAACTCCGGGGGAGATGTGGGTCTCCCGATCCCACACCATGCCATGGTACCGGCCCCAACGGTAATTGTGTGACAACACCTCATGTCCGCCCTTTTTCCTTCAGGACCAAAGTGCAGACCGTTACATGTCCGCGTTGAAGGGTGGCGACTTCTGTCTGCAGGCGCTGGAGCTCGCAGCCGGGAGGTAGGTATAAGGGCCAACATTTGGAAAAGGGAAAGTTAGGACCATGTCGGATTTTTCGGGCTGCGGACTGAGTGAAAACGATGGGCCGCCGTCGGCCAGTGCGGGTTTTTCGCTCTGTGGGGTCCCGGAAACTGCTTTGGGATTTCCGAAACCGTCTGCCGCCGCCCTTTGGGGTCCCTCCCTAAAATTGGACGTCCAACCCGACTCCCGCTGTCGAGTGCCGTTTGTGGCAATGAATCCCAATCTGACTGCGGATTTGCATAATGAGGTCTTCAGGGCATACGCACACTGGGTGGAAATATCACAAAAAGTTGTGGCATTTGCTACCGCTATTGTGATATGTGCGTTCACTCGAAACCGCTCGTGGCATATGGGACACGGTTGCGGCCTTCCTTGTCAGAACTTGCACTCTTGAGCAAGTCACACAGGAAGAGTTTTCTTTTTCTTTCTATTCAGCACTTGTAATAATAATTAACAAAAACGTTAAAAGGCGCTCCTCGCAGGCACTTGGTACTTGATGTATACTGTAGGAATGTAGTCATGGTACATGCAAATTCTGTGAAGGGTCATCCGAGTTTGCCAACCCCTCCAAAGCCACCTAGGCACTGGATGAACACGGCTGTGATCTGGGTGAGGTACATCCAGTATCGGGAAAGGGCCGATCGTGTTCTCCCCCCTTTTGCTCTCCCTGCACCAGTGTGACTTGGCGCGTCATGGGGGTCGCGTGCCTCCCTTGTTGTATCCAACTTTTCTTCTAATTTCTTTTCCCGTAACCTCTTGCCAAAGTGAAAATGCATTTGCGCACACCTCTTGAGGTGCCCACAAATTGCGTAACCCTGCGGCCAGGCACGCTGGAGATTTTGGTTACCCATTTATGTCATTTTGCGTACCCATTTGCATCATTTTGCGTACCGATTTGTGTCATTCGCTGGCTGTGTGACCTCGTACTGTTGCAGAATCTGTGATTTTTGTGAAGTTTGCTACCAGTGTGAGTATGCCCTCAGCCTTCGCCCGCAGAGAACGCCGCGCCATGATAGCTTGCCACTGTAGCTCTATGGGGGTGACACACGGTGCAGGTACAGCGATAATTATGGGGCATTGAACCTGGCATTCTATTTGGGTGAAGAAGATATCTGGTGTTCCGGCTGAGCTGTCCCCACAGTTTCTTTCTTTTTAATTTTTTTTCCTGCTTAGTCCGTGCAAAGTGGGACTTTGCCCTGGGGGCCAAGTCCCATGAGCTGGGGTTCAGTTTTCCTTCAGAGTATTTTTCAATTTTGCCACAGTTTGGGCATGAGATGTTCAGATAGGATGGCAGGAACTGGTGCAGAGGGTCTCACTCCACTACTCAGCACATGCAGAAAAGACAAAAAATTATTGGATGTTCCCAAAAGTACTGGGACCAGGATCCACTTAGTACCTGGATTTTTATTATTATTATTATTATTTTTTAAAATACCTGGCTTTTTTTATATTGGCACAATCAATCGACAGTCCACACGGTCCACATCGCAGAATGCAAGCAGGCGGGACTCTGTCCTGACCCTAGGGCGAGGTCCCACTACCATCTTCACCCGAATAGAACACTTTATTTTCACTGTATCTAGATTGGAAGTTCTGCCAAGTACAGCTATAATGACCAGGTGTTCTATTCGGGTGAAGACTGTAGCAAAGAGGATTGGATTTCTGGCCTGAATGTGGACCTGTTTATGGAGGAGAGGTGTTTCTGGTGAAGATGGTAGGAAAGAGGATTGGATTTCGGGCCTGAATGTGGATCTGTTTATGGAGGAGAGGTGTCAGAAATCGCAATCGAACTGCTTCCTTCTTTTGTTTCCCTCTTCTTTTTGAAAAAGGCGACAGCCTTGAGAAGTTGAGATATCACCTCACGAAGACTGGCCGGCCCTAGGTCATTCAGGAATCTTGTTCACCTGCTTCCATTGAACTCAGGTCTGCAATTTTACTGGTTATGGGTGTACTGACTGAGCTAAGCTCGTTTGTCTCGAACTGCTTTTCTGCATCTCTGCATAAAACAAAGCCAGATTCAGGCAGTCAAACCAACCGCTCTACTAGTGGGACCTCGCCCCCACCTATGGTCTCACTTGATTTCACCACTTTCAGCACGTGATATTGGTCTTATCCACCCTTTTTTTTTTTCTTTTTTTTTCTTTTGTTTTTTTCTTTTTTGAACAGGTCCTTATGGCCCTGTCTCCATTTCCATTCTGGGGAGCATCAGTCCGGTTCCTTTTCCACCAGCAAGTCAGAATAAAATATTACATCATGAAATACACTCAAGATTCCTTCCGTCTGGCCGAAGGAACCCTGACCAGCATTGATTACTCCTGCATCGTGGAGGGGATTGACTGTCAGCTTGCCTTACTTCCGTCCACCTTTCCGCTCAGCTCCACTGTATGAGGCAGTCAGATAAATAATGAAGTTACTGAGCAAGAAAGGTAAGAGAAGCTACGGGAGTTGCAGTCTTGGGATTCGCCCTCCGATATTATGTGACCTGTGATGGATGTTGTCCGTCTGCTGGCTGGGATCTCTGCCTTCGCCACCCTGCTTCTGAGTTGTGCCGGTCTTTCCATCGTATGTGAGAAACATTTATCGCTGCCACTTTGCCCCTGGCAACCCACACCTTCGTGAATTTTTCTCTTGATTCTTCTCTGTTGCTCTTCATCATCCGGCATGGATTGT